ATAGCGAGTTTTAGAAATAAGAAGCCAGGGTATAAAAGTGTTAGTTAAAAGTAATGAGTAATCACAACACATTTATAAGTTCAGTAGCATGTCTAAATATATCTTTCTTAAAATAGCTCTGACTATTAAAAAAGATGGAACGTAATACTGGTTAACTGTTACGAAAATATTATGAAACATGCAAATCTCCAGTCTTCAATAATGTAAATCCTTAATGTACTTTATTAAGGTTATTTTAAGATACTAAATATAAGTTTATTACACAATATAGACGCACCCCCTTGTGCAAGGCTAACCAGAAATCAATACAACGGCAACTCTGCCTTCCGAAGTCAAATATGGTAAAGGTATCATTCAAGTTTTTAACACCTCAAACTGTTTAAGTTTAGGAAAGTAAAGTACAGGTAGAGTATTTATAAATTTATATTATTCTGATAGCCAATGCTATAGAGCCTATCAAAAAGCCTCTTTTGGGCAAGCAGTCCCCAAACTGGGCCACGAATGAGCTGCTAGGGCTGAAGTTTTAACATTTAAAAAAGCCAAGATACTGAACTGGTCAAAGACCAGAGTGAATAACTTTTTGCTGCTTGTTTGGTTTACATGCATTAGTTAGGTAAAGCAAGTGAGTCTTGAAAGCAAAGCAATAGTTTGTCAGGTGAGAAGTTAATTGTACCTTATCTGTGGTTACTCCAAATAATTTCCAAGTCAGTTTTAGTTACTCTTATTCTCCTCTGTAAATGAGAAATCAGGCATTGATTCTAGAACATAATTTCAGAATCAGAGCCTTTACTCATCCATTAGGGTAAGTTTGGGGCCGTAGGGATAACTACGTAAGCTATTCTATGGAGAATGAGGACAGGTTAAATGAAAACATATTTTAATAAAAATATGCTATTTGTAAGAACTTGAATTTTTAATTACACAAAATATAAGAGATGGGGAATACGAACAGTAAAAACCTCTGTCCTACTTGAAATCTTTTGTGGGAGTTGCTCCAAAGAGCTCAATGGGCTTTTCTGGGTTTTGGTCTTTCTTCCTGCCTCTGCTCATTCTTGCGAAGGTAAAGCAAGAGGTCTAGAATGGGTAAAGGCAGAGAAGAGAAGCAAAATAGATGGGCAACAGGCTTAAGCTGTAGCAGCGAAGAGTCACCACTTAAAAAGAAGAGGAAAAATTGGGCCCGACACTACTGTTAAAATCAGAAACACCGTCCAGCCGTACCTTACTACAGGCTCTTGTTTTATAAGCAATACCCATCCCTACGCAAACTCCAGCACCTGTGTTACGTAGGTACTGCTTCGTCCTCACCAGTAGGAGTTATACTTACATATTTTACAGCAAGTCTTCCACTGTAAAATCTCCATGGTCGCTGTAGCCAACTGAGATACTTGAGATACTATTTAGTAGTGGGGTTATGACACACATCCAAATGTATTAGGCAAGCCTAGAGTCAACAAGGCAATTCAACGACTGAGCTGAGCCAAGAACACATTGCCTAATTCTTAGTCCACAGTTGACTTGCTAGACCTAGATTCCTAAATAGGAATATGGCTATACAGAAACTCTCCCATTTAGAACTTTTACAGACGAGTCAAGTGGGGAACAAGCACAAAAAATGTGGTAAGATGTACTTATTATCTGATTTTACGCCAAAAGAACAATAGTCAAGTTTGAGAGCCACAGACGATTGTCCTCTGACACATTTCATTTCTAACAATTATAAACATATTAATATTCTACTTGTTATAACTATGCTGGTGATAGAACTTGTTCCTTGTTTGTAGCATTAGCGCTGAGGAGGTCTTATCAAGTAGGAAAAAATTATCAGTCATATTTTCAATTGTATATTACTTCCTCTTTTTGTCATTCATTTGGGCAGTTAAATAAACATTAAAAAAATAAAAGGACAATGGAAGTTGGTAGTATTTTTAAGACTAGGGAAAAAAGATATATGAATCTTCATTTATTGATGGATAACCAGTTCCAAGGCTGGTGACCACATAAGGCCACAGTGAAATACACAGTGACCATTCTGAGAGAGAGAATGGAGGCAGGAATGAGTGGGATAACAACTTCTGACTATTTTAAGTATTGGCACCGGAGAAAAGTTTTAGCTGAACGCTAGGCAACCTATAAACTGAAAGGAAGTTCAGAGAACCAAGTGATTAGAAGTTTGAAAAAAGAAATGAAAAGAAAGTCTATACTTGCCATAGATACATGTGTATGATATATGCAGCTGTATATACATAAACCAATATTCACATATTCAAATATATCTTCTAAACATCTAAATGAATAAGGACAGGTATAAAAATACATGAACCTCAAACACTACATTTTGAATTATTTCCCTCTGATGGGGAGGTTTGGAAAAGCACCTAATCTGTCTGTTCATTTATGGAGTCTGAGGCTCGTGGGACAGGCCGACAAACGTCTTATTTATAGGAGTCCCAAATTCCTTGGGAGAAAGGCTAAAGGGGACTTTGGAACTCATGGGTGGTTAGGCCACCAAGACACCCAAAGAAAGTCAAAGCCTGCCTTAATTTGTGGGACGGGGGGACGGGGCAGGGGTGGGGACTAGAGTATCAGAGGTAGCACCAGAATGTAAAAAACGGACAACTGCCCTCGATGGTGTGGCTCAGTGGATTGAGTGCCAGCCTGTGAACCAAAGGGTTGCCGCTTCGATTCCGTCAGGGCACACGTCTGGGTTGCCCTGCTGGGGGTGTGCATGAGAGGCAACCACTCATCAATATTTTTCTCCCTCTCTTTCTTCCCCCTCCCCCCTAAAAATAAATAAATAAAAAAAAAATCCTTTTTTTTTTTTTTTTTTAAAGAAAAGGACAACTAACACCTTAAGTGCAAGCTTCTAAGCTTGGAAGACTGTTGATTCAGGGAGAAATGCTTCTCATCTCCCGTGACACTAGGTGATGCCATGCAAAGGCCCTCTGAGGACCCCTACCACAGTTTTCTAAATTCAGGTCAGGAGAGGAAGGGAAGGCCACGGAGCAGTGGAAGGGAGCCCAGCTGGGGGGTCAGAGCGAAGGCAGAAGCCTCTCCGCAGCCTGGGTGGTGAAGAATGCCTGAGACCATCCTGACCTGCAGGGAGGGTGTCCTGGACAAGCAGAGCAGAGACAGACACGGGGGAAAAAACTGGGGACCCACATGGAGGCCCAGATGGAACAACACTGGCTGGTGACCCCAGCGGAAAAATCCCTGGATTCTCGGCTCCGTCCTGATCCCGGGCTGTCCCTGTCATCCCTCCTCGTGCATAACCGCTGGAGGTGGGGAAAGAGTGAGGACTGCCCCAACAACAAAAGCTGGTCTTGTCTCCCGGATAATGACCTTCTGCCACTATGGGTTAAAAACCCAGCTTCCAGCATGTTAAGTAAACCCTGCTCAGCGACCCACGCTGATGAAGAATGGGTGTGTGGTGCATGGAGTCTGTGGACGTCCACGGGGTCTGGTACCCAGAGCAGTCAGGGAAGGGCCAGGGGAGAGGTGTTAAGAGTTACCTCAAGAGCCCAACCTCTGGGCTCATCAAAAAGCTCTTGACAACTTCATTTTATATGCATGCAGAAAGAAAAAGAAAAGGACTTACAATGTTGGTCTTCCTGAAATTATAAGTTTCTTTTTATCTTAAAGAAATTGCAGTAACACCTGGCTACATTTGTTTCTATTCGCACCAGAGTGCTTTCTATATTCAAGTCTAAGTAAGTAAACAGACAGCCCAGATGTAATACTTTGTCTTACTTAGACCCTGCCAATTCAGAAAGAAAGTACTCTTGCAAACAAATGCTTAACTGACAACGAAACCAAACAGAGTTGAGAATTTCTAAGTGGTTAACTGAAAGAGACTTAACAAAGCACAGTCTGTACTTAATTTTTCAAAGATACTGACCTCTTCAAAATCTAAACTATGTCTAAGTTCTGCAAATTAGCAAATCAATCAATATGTCATCACCGGATTGGCCTTTACCGCATTAATGCACGCCTGCATTTTCAATACCCCTGCACAGTCAATGCTTAAGCCTATGACTTGTAACATTTATATTTGCGTGAACTGCAGGCGATGACGGCTAATAAAACCCTTACTATGCACCAGAAGCAATTTTTTGGAAGAGATTTAATGGAGTTACAGTTTGGGTGCTGTTCAAAACTTAGAATTCTATAAGAATATGTTGTGATCCCTCTACATTCAATAAAACGTACATTTCAAATCTTGTGGGGTTTTTTTTTTTTGCTTTTAAGTCTAATGTACATCATAAATACAAATGCAATTTTTAAAAATGCTTTGCAAACAAGAAAATCCGACAGCTGAAAGAAGTAATATAAAACACTTAAAACCAGTCATTCAAAGTAGGATTCGCAAGTGCATCTTTTCTTCTGCAGCCATTTTTCCCCCCTTAGGTCGCATAAGTTTCGGTTTAGGAAAAGTTCACAGGTTACGTTTTGAAAAGTGCTAAATACTTCTGTTCTGGGCAAAAGTACTGAACTTCACGGCCACGACCACACTGTCAGAGGCTGCTGTGGAAAAACAATGTGCTAGACAACTTAACAGGTTTCTATGGCTCAAGTTCGCTTAAAATACACAACAAAGTCACCTTGGCTTGGAGATAATTACACCAGCCTCGCGCTTGTCAGTTTTAAGCACCAAAAGACCTGGGAGATGCTTGCCGACGTTACGGGGCATGAGGATGCCCCAGCGGTCTTTCTTAAGAACCTCTGTAGGGCAGTGAAGTGGCCCTGGGCGGAACTTCCCGGGCTGCAGCCCCTGCTCGAACACACCTGGCCGGGGGGCTCGGTGCCGCGCGGACCCCGCTCGAGGAACTGTCAGTCGCGGCGGGAACGGCGGAAGCCTCGGGAGCGCCGGGGACCCCGCGCGCCCACAGCCCGAGCGGCCCTGGAGGCAGCGGCGGCGACGGGGCTCGCAGCAGGGCGTTCCCCGGACCCCGCCGCCCTCCCAGCGGCCTAGCACCACCCGCCCGCTCGCCCGCCCGCCTCACCTGCGCGGCTGCGGCGCCGCTCCCGCCGCCGGTCGCTCTCGTAGAAGCCCAGCGTCTCCGTGTGTTGAGGCGCTAGCGGGGGCCCGTGACCGCCGCCGCCCGGCTGCTCCGCCTGGCCGCGACCATCGCGCTCTGGGCCATCCGCGCCACCACGGCTGCCTTCTCCCGAGGCGGCCGCGTCGCCGACGCCCGCCATGTTTCGAGAGCAAACTAACCCCGCCGCCTCCCTCCAGCCTGCGGCCCGGCCTCCGCCTCCGGCCGGCCCCCTCCCCGCCTCGCCCCGCCCCTCCCCGGAGCCCGGACCGCCGCCGCCGCCGCCGCCATCCGCGGCCCGTCTGCCGGCGCGCACCATTGGCGTCAGCGGCGCGTAGGAAGCCGCCGCCGCCGCCGCCGCCGCCGCTACGGCGGCCGCCATCTTTTTCCGGACCTCGCCGTGGCGCGCGGGAGCTTCCCGCGCCACAGCTGGCTCCGTCGTCCGGGGCACCGCACTGGGCTCCATGCTGCCTGGCCGTGCGGCCGGGGAGACCGGGCGCCTCCGGGGCTCGGGTCCGGGACGTGGCGGGAGCGGGCCCGGCGTGGCGGCGGTAGCGGGCGGAGGGTCGGCCGAGGAGCCCCGGGGCGGCGGCCGCTGTGCCCGCTGCCCGCCGTCTGCGAGGTGTCCGGCCGCCCGCCCGGGGCCCCTTTTGCAGGCTCGGTGCCCGGAGTGAGTTGGCGCCACTGGCCCGGTCTTGGCACTGGCCGCGCGACCACGGCGGCGAGGGCCAGGCTCCAGATCCCCGACCCCCGCCGGTCCCGGCCCCATGTGTCCGCTATTGGGGCTCCATCTCTGCTGCATATTTGTGGTCACCCGTCACATTCCAAGGCCTCTGGGTTTGCGTTGACAGTTTCCAAAGCACTTGGACAAGGAGGAACTCGGGGATGCTGTCCAACAGGTGGGGGCGCGGAGGGAAGCGTCGGGCCCCAGGGACTCAGCCCAAGAAGCGGGGTGCTTTATGCTTTTCACGTGCCCTGGACGTTCTAGACTGTCCTTCGGGTTAGGGTTAGGATCCGGCTCTTGGCCGCCGCCTTGCCCTTGCTCCATCACCTGGGTGCCTGCTTTACTTGGGGCGGACCGGCCGTAGCAGCTCTGGCCTGTCACTTGGCACTGAGCGCGGTGTCAGACCACTTGCTACAGGTGTCGCGGAAGTGAACATGATTGGGGAAGGGGCCAAGCACCTTTGCCACCCTCTTCTCACATGGTTGCTGCTCGCTCCAGAGAGGGGGACTGCGGCAGGTAAATATCCCGTATGCCAACTTAAGAACTAACCTGTGCCACTGTTGACCTTTTGATTAGGAAAGGGAAAACTAATTAATTCCTCCCGAACATTAAACTGCCTGGAAACTCCACCAGACCTAAACTTGAGAACCAGATGGAAAGGGCTGGCACAGAGCTAAATCGAGTTTGTGTTGATTCATCAAAGACCCTGAAGGTTTGTTGACACTAGTGAATACCTGGTTGCAAAATCGCAGCAGGTTTAGACCAGAGTGGCTGTTTTCTCTGCGTGCTGGGGCAGACCCCTAACAGTCTGACCGCAGGGCAGGAGGCAGCGAGGAGGGACTCAGTGGACTAAGCCCTGCAGCTGCAAACTGACCGTGAATCTTTCCATGAGAGGAGGAGCTGATGCCTTTGGAAATTCTTCATTCTCCCCCGCAAAGGGAACAGTTCACAGGATTACATTTCTGAACATCCGTGGGACCAACCTCCATGAAATTCTCTGGGTTATACTTGATCAAAACTGAACCTTAATTCACCAAACACAAATGTCCTAATCTAGTCACCAAAGTCATTTTGAAAATCAAAAGGTACCGAAAATTTTATGGCCTCTAAGTTTGCTTACAGCTCAAACTCTATTATTTCTCTGATCTGTGATAGTGTTAAAACCCACCCCGTGCCTATTTATTGATTGTCGAGAAGGAAGTAGAGATTTATTGCTTGTGTATGTAAGTTCCCATTTATTGTCTCACTATGTTTCTTGGCTTATTGCCCCTGCCTTTAACTGAACAGGAGCCAGAAGGGGAAAAATCAGAATTTTTTGTTTCTTTAGGCATCCACTTATATTGTAAGAATGGATTTCTCCTCTATGTCAAGCCTGAGGAAAGGCATTGTGTACCAAAGGCTGTGCCTATCCTTTCAAATAGCAAGGAGAAGGGAAGCAGCCCTGTCCAGGTACTGAAAAGTGGGGCAGAGCAGAGAGAGCAAAGGGAAAATGGGAAAGCTGAGGGGTCCGTGGTTTGTCATCGACTGGGTCTTCCGCTGGAGCTGCACTACTTTACAAGACACTGAAACTGCTCAGTGAAACAAACCTGTAATGAAATCCACATGCTAAAAAAGCACTCTTAAAACAAACACTCATATAAATAATTTTTTCTAATTAACACTTCTTCCCTTGTGTAGGTACTGATAATTAGATAATCAGCTTATTGGATAGGGAAAGTTGTTTCCTTTGAGTTAATTCAACCTATTGCAGGTTACTTACCACCTTAGTAAGGGCATTTTCAGATACAATCTGCCCTCTCAGCCCTCTGTATTGAGGAAATACGATCCTGGATTCAACCAACCTTGAACTGAAAATATTTGAAAAAAAAAAAATTCAGAAAGCGGATCCCTAAATGATACAGTAAAACAACTATTTACATAGCACTTACATTGTATTAGGTATTATAAGTAATCTACAGATGACAAAAGATGTGTATAGGTTATATGCAAGTCCTGTACCATTTTATATAAGGGACTTGAGCATCCTCAGATTTTGGTATCTGTAGTGGGTCCTGGAACCAATCCCCCATGGATACCAAGGAATGCGTCATCTGTATGTATTCTAAATCTTCAAAATATTAAGTTACAAATAAGGAATAGTTATACAGCACAGAAGAACCAGCAGTTCTCTGAAGAAAATAAATGGCAGTTAAAATACAATTTCTTTATATCAGTCATGAAAAGAAAGAGGCCTAGATTTATAATACCATCGTTAGAAAACAGTAGAAATATTTCACTGACATATTCCACACCATTAAAGAGACATCAAATAACATTCTGAGTTAAATTATAAGAACAGGATTTGGATGACAATGAGCTATAATAATTAAATATCAATTCAGCAAACAGGTGCAGTCAGCATGTCACTGTAGAAGCTTCTAGTGAAAGAAATACTCCATTTGTGGGAAATAGTTTCAATAGAGGAAAGTGATGCCCAAGAAAGAGTCTTATACGTAAACAACAGAGAACAAAAAATAATTTCAGTGTGTTAAGTTTAAATGGAGTTGTATATTCAAAATTATATCTTAATATACATGCATAATTATGACTATAAATTCAATGAAAATTTTGTAAAACTACCACATGTATTCTTAGTTGTGTATTCTTGTGCCTTCTGGTTGTACTATCTACCATGTGGTGACTGTATTTTGAAAATAGCAAAAAGCACAAAGTATATTTTAAAGGGATGAAAATTTGGTAAGCAATACAATTTTAAAAAATAAATGGAGTGACTTTGTGTTTTATTAAAGATTTAATAATTGTGATTTTTAGACTAAATGAAATACATTGAATGCGTTGCATATAAACCATGATTCAAGCCCCAGGAAATTATCTCATGAAGCTTATGAACTCTAGCCTTCAGTGTCTTTCACTGGTAAATGGGGCAGTATCTTTCTATAGTAGGAGCTGAAAAAAATGTAATTTCCCATTTTCTTTCTCCTTAGTGGTGACTGAATGCCGTTTAGACTGAGTAGGTTTACTTTTCAACTGCAAAACAATTTACAAATCTCTTGATAGCACTTCCAGTATATTGCCCCTAAAATATGTTTAAAATTCGTTCCTTTTATTTTTCCCGAGTGAAAAAACATTGAGTACTTTGGTGATTTGAGGGAATCCTGAAGGCCTGGACCCCCTCTGACTCTCCAGTTAGTCTTCTGACCTAAGGAAACACTTGTCACCTCTCTGTGCGTCATTTGCCTCACTCGAGAATGTTGGACAGGTCACCCTGATGGCCTCTTCCAAAATTGTGTCATAAAATCCTTGCGAACCCCGTTTCAGATTCTTACACCCCCAGGGTAAAAATAGCTAGATCTGCCTATACTCTGAGTATTTGTTAGAAAAGTATGTAATCTTTAATTAGAGAATGACTTTGTAACTGGGTCTAAAATAATGCAGGGAATTCAAATCGAGTAATACATCAGGGGGCTGTGAGTCTTTAATGAGGCTTCTCTATTGTCTGTTGTTAGTTCATTATCCATTTTGCATGAGAACCGATGGGTTCTGGTGACCTGGCCAGTCCCTGGCCTACGCCTCAGGGTTGCTGGATTTTGCACGAATTTCCTGTGTTGTACCCAGACACGCCTCAGTCAGAGAGCGCTGCCCTGTCGCGGCATTCAGAGCAACCAAAACGGGATTCGAGATGATTCGTGTTGTACACAATTTTCGGAATATAGATTCAGCCACTGACTTGAGTACAGTTTAATTCTATAGTTCTCATTTAAAATTTATTTCAGCAGAACATGACTTCTGTTTTCTAAACCATAAATGCTATGTGTCTAATTCACAAAAAGTTCTGAATTTAATTTATTCCCCATTTCTTCAAAGAGAAAAGTAAGAGTTCATATTTTTTAAAAAACAACAGTTTGGCAACAGATGTTTAAAAGAAATAAAGTATATCCCTGGGCCCAGAGCAAGCCTTTGCAGCAAATTTATGTGAGTTTATTGAATCTCTGAGTTTCAGTAATAATATTTCCTATTCTTGGCAATCATTTTTGGACTGATACTTATTAGGTTTTATCCTGTCTGGACTTTATTCTATGGATTTCTAAAGGACATCAACTCAATTTGTTTCTGGGAGATGTAGCACAAATTCAATAATGTGCCTTTGATTCTACTGTACCTGTTACAACTTAACCAAAACAGTCATGAGCAAAATCTTATTTCTAAAAGCATTTCTAAATAGGACCTATTGAAAATGGTGTTTTGTTAAAAGGGATATTTTATAAAAGATATTTTGCTCTAAAAACCTTAACTTGGTTTCTTTATGTGGTAAAAGTGTGTGAACATAAAGCCATACTTTATTGGCTAATAGAATCTTTTATACATGATCAGCTATAAGGCTTAATTTGTATTAGATTTAAAATTTCTGGAAAATTCCAAAATACTGCTGGAAGCCACCATGACTGGGCAAGCTTTCCATTCCAGATTTCTCTCTTTAAGGAGAAAGAACA